GAAAAGGTTCACTTTAACCACGAAACCAGATCGGCCGACCTGTAACGTTACACTCTCACTCAAAGGATGGACTATCTGACAGGATTGTTACTATGAGGTGGATCACATCTAACGTGTATAGTAAAGACAAACTCACCGTGTCTATCTAGTCATGATGAAGATGTATATACATTTCAATTTCAGCAGGCAACTATTTTTACAGCTACATTATTGTTCCAGCCACAATTAATCACAACAATGTATATACAATTACAAATGATTATATATAAATTGTCAGTTTGTTGTTTTATACACATGCACAGACATTATTTCATACACGACATAGTCGTGAGATGCAAGAAACATAGACATATGGCAAGAAATCTGTAGATTTCCCATAACAACAAAAGACAATACTTTATTTAACCTTTTCTGATAAGAAGTGTGTGCTGCAAACGCGAGCATTTTTGACGATCGTTTCTGTCCAGTCTGCTCGTTTTATTGCGTTTAACCACAGCTGTCGTCGGTTTTTTGTCTGGCAGTGGCAGCAGATATGCGATCAAATTTCTAATTTGAGGCTGTATTACGTCGATTCTGGCACCCAACATCACAACAAGATGATATTTTAAGCTCCTTATGTAGCCGAATCTGCGCTGGTTTGAATGGGCCGCCTCCAGTTTCCCCTTTGTTTTGCTGCCTCCAGCTAGTGCTGTGACGTCGGCTGACCCCAGTTACCTGTGGTTGGCCTGACCGTGCGTCACTCAGAGAACAACAGGCCAATCAGAAGAGAGGCTCATGAATATTAATTAGACAGGCCAAAATCGACCTGTTCTCAGCAGAGCTCCTGAGAGAGGAGCTGTAAAAATATATTGAGATGGTTTTTGGTACTTATACCGCAAATATATATTCTTAAGGACATCAAGACTTAAAATAAAACTCCAGAAAGGTGTAAAATATGTGACCTTTAAGGACCACCATTAAGTTTTTTTTTTCTTTTTGAAGCAATAGAGACACAAATCCAAACATAAGTATGATGGACCTCTTCCTACCTTTACCATCTTCTTATTAAAGCAAACTGAGAGTCAAGTAACTCTTCCAGGCGTTTTCCCAATCCTAGATTCTTTGTTTTCGCTTTTAAGTGCTTCCAGACCAGGCTGCAGTATTGGGATTGTATTGAATTACTGAGCTTGTGACTTTATTTTATTTTTTTATCATAATCTTTTACCCTCATAATCTTTAATCAATATTATTAACTTCTCGTTATTAAGAACATCTCTTCTCTGATGACGTGTGCACCGGCACGAGCAAACAACAACAATCCAAACAATTTCAATTTAATGTTTCATGCCAACTTTAACTAAAAGTTTGTTGTTTGTCAAACTAACTTTCATACAGGTCAACGTGGTTTATTTCACATGTGGTAATTTGCCCTTAAGCCTACATTTGTAGTTTAGCCTAATTACTGAATCAAAAAGAGTGACCGAATAAAACACTCTGGTTACAAAAATGTACACAACAGATAGTTTGTAAGAACTGAATGTTATTATATAGGCCTACTGTGATTCTGTGTCATGCAAAATTGTTTAACCCATAGAATGCCTGTTTAAAAATGTATTGCGTTACTGCAATATCTTTTAGATCAGGATTTTCATAACTGTAGTTAGGGTTACAAAAAGAGCTGATGAAAAGCTGATAGTTAGTCAATCATTAAATTGAAAAAGATTAATAAACTATTTAAACATCAAACGTTAAAAAAATATGTACTGAAAACATATCATGTGACCATTAACCAACATCAGAGAACTGTAAACATAGGAATATGTTGTTAAATTGTTGAAATATTATTCAAGGGGTACGTAAAGTACATATTTGAGTGGTTTAGCTGACAAAAAGTTTGGGAATCCCAGTTATAATCAAAATAGCGTTTTTGCTTATCCTTTTGTAGCAATGGCAGCAAAGCAACCAGGCTAATCAGCTAGCAGTATTTTAAGGTACCAAGTTATGAAGTTAGCTGATTAATGAAAGTTAAAATAACAGGCTAAATGGTTGGTAACATAAAAATAACAAGTCGGCTAACTGGTTAGCTTGCAAGCATTTTTGAATTTAGATTCTGAAGTTGACTATCTACATTTTCTGAAAGTTTAGCAACTCTATTCACTGACCACAATTTTTGATTCCATATTTTATACCGCATTTTGGGAATTGCCAGGCAAGAAAAAGTTTTTTTGTTTTTTTTTATGGATTTGTAACATCATGATTATGACAGGTTAGTGCTTGTGCTATCATGAGAATGACATGTCTTTTTCATTCTGCGGGCTAACAGGAAAACTATCGGGTGCTTTTGGATCTTCTGTCCAGAATGCATGAGTGGTTTTACCCCGGGGAGATTCTGCTTCAGTAACTCTAAACAGTCCTTCACAAAATCGCTTGCTTGCCTTTGCCAGGATCCTTATGGTTAACGTTACTTGTCCTTTGTCATTATGATCTCTGAGATGGAAAGAGGGGGGCTCTGGTTCTAACACTGAGAGCTTTTTGTGATAGAAATGGCATTGTCTGAAGAGTAATGACATATGGCAGCTCAATATTCCATTTCCTTGTATTACATTTACATCATCATATGAGCATTATCTTTTCATCCGTTTCAATTCCCTGTGACCTCATTCCCATTCAAGTTTAAATTCCCAAGTAAGTTGTTGTGCGTTTTGAATAATTTTCCAGTGATTATGTGGGATACTACCACAGCATATTACTTCCTTTGAATATGAGTGTTTGTAGTTACTGATTCAAAGCTGAGGAAGCTGAACTTTTAATCATGTTCTGCCTAAATTTTCATTAGTCTAAGAGTGCCTTTAATCCAATTGCATGACAAAGATCCATTTATTTCAGTCAATGTTCACTATCTGTTTTTACTATGGACATGAATGGAAGCCGTTAAAGGTCAAAACCATGGGTCATCATAGGTCCCCCCCCCATCTGTTGTTAAATACACTGAAATCAGTACCAAAGATCATGGTGAACTTCCAAAAAAAACAAAAAAACGTGTGTGTTGTTTGTTCTCTGCTCTGTGTCTGGGTCAGAATATTACAGCCTTTTGTAAATTATTAATTAAGTTCATGTTGTGAAGAGTAGTATTTCAGTATATTTAAACTTAGTTATTTAATTTTTCAAAGCAACTGGATTTAATAAAGTGGCACTGTAATAAAGTAAGCACTTCACACATTGTTTTAACATTGTGCTCGTATTTTATTGTGGTATTATACACTACTGTTCAAAATTTGGGGTCGGTAAGATTTTTAAAATGTTTTTGAAAGTCTTTTATGCTCACCAAGGCTGCATTTATTTGATAAAAATACAGTAAAACAGTAATACTGTGAAAACATACAATTTAAAATAGGCTTTTTATATATATTTATATATTTTAAAATGTAATTTATTCCTGTGACGGCAAAGCTGAATTCATTGTAACATGATCCTTCAGAAATCATTCTATTGTGTAGATTTGGTGCTTTAAAAAAAAATTATTATTATTATCACAGAGACACATACATAAAAAGTGTCCGCCTGAAATGTTCAAAAAATACTTCAGCTATGAGACTGTGCTCATTAACATGCTTTCAGCACATAAATTGCAGAATGAGAAAATATTAATGTGACTGCAGCTCTTGTGAATTGCCATTTTAGGTTACCATAGTAACCTATAGGTTTCTGTAAATTTGGTGTAACCAGTGAGATTATTTTTTAACTCCCATTCATGTTCAGTATAAGTTCAGTGGCCATGGTATCATGGAGATACCATGTTCTCTGGACACATACCATGGTTGTGTATCTTAGATTTTGCCTGCGCTTCTACATTCTACATGTGTGTGTGTGTGTGTGTGTGTGTGTGTGTAGACCAAAGCTATATGTTTCAGTGTTTATGTGTGTGTTCATCTCTGATCTCTCTTTTCTCTGTAGGGCTCAGTGTCAAATGAGGGGAAACTGTAATTGGCCCCTGCAACCTGTGGTCTGTTTGTGTCTCCAGTGGATCAAATACACATTCTTCCCTTAATATCCCTGCGTTATATACAAAAGTACACACATTTACGTGCACAACGCCTGAGCCTCATCTCTCTAAGGTGAGAACCACTTCCTTCTGTGAGGTCTTCACTCTATATCAGACCAGATTTCTTCATCTGTTATATGATTACGTTAAATACTTAACCTGGCTTCCACTATCTTTGTGGCTATTCCTCAATCTTTTATGCCATATTTCTTATGGAAAATATTTTCTGTATACTGCAAAACAGCAAATTGGTTCCCCCTTTTTCCTTTAAGGTGTCTGTACTATTAGAAAAACATTTTCCTTTGCCTTACCAAATATTAATATTACTTTTTTTCCCTGTCCATATTGGTATAGAGCCACTAGGAAACTAATGGAACATATTTTGGCGTGATTTTTAGAAATTAACTTCAGTCTTAGATGTTGAGTTGTACAGTCTCTCCACCTTTTTTGGCATAGGCTTCACTATGGAAGCCCGTTTCCACCCCAGAATAAAAAATATAAAAGGTAATTGTGAAATATAGCTTAAAATAAGAAATAAAATCACACTTGTGAGAGTCACAATTATGAACGTTTAAGCAACTGTATGTACGTTTTTACATTTATCAATTTCAAACTCATTGAAATGCTACACTGACTTCTAAGGCGAATGGTGTCTGTTTCTGTAGTATGTAAGCATGTAAGTTTGGTAAAAGGTTATGAAATTCTGTGAAAAGGGTGGATTGCTTTACGGCAGCAACAAATGCATGTATACAGCTATCCATGTAATTCTGACTAATTAAATAATTCCACTCACTTAACTGTAGGGACTTCGAAGTTGCAAAAATACAGAAAACTACATACAGTTGCTTTTAAAGTTTAAACTAATATATACAAGTCATCAGACTACTTTCATCAGAAATAATGATAACATAACCATATCTTTTTCATCCCGTTTTAGGTTTGTGCTTTCTGCATCCTTGTATTGTGGGTGCAGTTACATCTTCCAATCGCATGGAGGCGCCGCAAGCTTCTCCTGACAGCAGCAGTGAGGAATGTACTGTACTAGAGGCTCTGCCTGGCAAGGGAACAGCGCTAATTTGCTCTCAGCACAAAGGAAAAGTGAGAACTGTTTTAATACACACATTCACATAAACACACGCACACACTCACAACACAAAATGATTGCACAGATGGGTGAAATATCTCTCAAAGGCAGTGTTTTTCCCATGAGCATAAGCTTTCTGTCCCAGAAAAACAAGTGTACCCATCTCAGCTGGTTTCTCTATAAATATCATAAGTTAAGAGATGACTTTGTCATCATTTTGTCATCATGTCATCTTGACATTTGTCAAGAAGTGTGCGCATTGGTTAGGGAACATTTACGATGACAGTTCCTACAGAAAACATTTCTCATGTAGCACCTGAAATGTATCCTGATTATTCCCAGAAAAGATAATGAGCTTATTTTCAAGCATCAAGCTTGTAGTCACCATCAATATAAATAGAATAGGATTCATGCTTTATTTAGTCAGATTGATTTTGGTATCACTGACTGCCACTGCATAGTAGTAATGTATAGTTGTGATTCACGTACATGCCTTTATCAATAACCAATAACGATTCAGATGCTTAGGGAACATGTGGTGGCTGTATGTAAGCAATATCACATTAAAATAGTTACAAAATAAGCCTCCACACTGTATGTTTATGTACAGCAAATGTATTCTTTATAAAATATACAGGGAAATAAAAAGCTACATCCGAAATTGAATGCTTCTCTACTATAAATTATGAGAAATCAGTATGCCAAAATAGTATTTTCGATTCCCGTTTTATTTTACTATAGATATATTTAAAATGTAGATAAAGAAAAATACATAATACATACAAAATTTAAATGGCAAATATTATAAAAAATACATTTTACAAAATAGTCAAGTCAAGTCAAGTTTATTTGTACAGCGCTTTTTACGATACAAATCATTGCAAAGCAACTTTACAGCAAATTAAGTTTCTACACTATTTAGCGGTAGCTTATCAGTGGTGACTGTCAGTTAATGTACATATGGCAGAAATGTACGGAAAAATCAATTAAAGACGTAATCAAACAGACGATGAACACTATTAACAGCAATTATTATATGATGCAATAGAAAATAGAACACCCATTGACATGCTTCAGTACATTTTAGAATGGTTTTAAATTTCTGCATTCTTTTTCTGTGCTGTATTTAGGTGTCTGCGTTGTACTGTTTGGCTTGTGAGAATCCATTATGTGTGGACTGTATGAATGGAGAACATGCTGAACACCCCACTGATTCACTGGAAAATATTGTGGACCAACATTTAGTGGCACTGCAGGACAGAGTGGATTCAGCTAAGAACAGGTGCTCCCATGATGCCCATTATGTCATTCACAGTCAAATAAATAGGCTTACAAATAAGAAGGCCGACACAGAATATACACCTCTTGTGCATTTGCTAAATGTTTTTATAATCTGTCAATAAGACCCATTTTGGCACAGATTTTACCTTTCCATCAGTATAGAAAATATGAATAAGTCTGTAGATTACGTGTGGGCGTTGGACTAAGCAAAAAATCCATCTCCTAATTGCTTAATTCATTAATTGATTGCTTATTGATTTACTGTTGTTACTGTGCTCAATAATGGTTGATGGATGAATCGACAAATGAATGAATGGGTAATGGACCTATTTAAATAACTCCCAGGCTTCCTCAGATAAGAGAAGCAGTTCAGTGTTTGAGAGACATTCTGCAGCAGTTGAACTCTCAGCGCAGCTCCATAGAGGAAGACATCCACTCCTCCTTCAGCGAGCTCCACAAAACTCTGGATACACGCAAGAGCGTCCTGCTCATGGAGCTGGAAGTCACTTATGGACTGAAGCAGAAGGTATGTGCACAGAAGACTTAACTCACAGTTGTTTTCAATAGAGTTTCATGCTGCCAAGCTAAGAGCATGATACTCTAATAAGCATTAAAATACATGCGTCACATAATATTGGACAAATTAGGCTATTTTTAATTAGATTAAATATGCATATTTTTGTATACACTATCTTTCAAAAGTTTGGGGTAAGTACGTTTTTTTCAATGTTTTAATAGAAGTCTCTTATGCGAACCAAGGCTCAGTGTTATTTTATTATCACTGATATACTATTATAGTTTTTGTTAATATTTAGAATTAGATTTTATTTCATATTTTCTGTTTTAATTTTAATTTTAGTTGAAGTTTTAGTCAGTTCTAGTTGTGTTTTTGTCATTAAAAAAAAAAAAAAAAATATATATATATATATATATCGTTAGTTATTTTAGTAAAAAACTAAATAAAAACTAAACAAAAATGAGAAATGTTCCCTTGGCAACTAGGTGAAGTAAAAAAAGTTTTAAAAATGTTTTTATGGTTTTGGTTTTAGGTTTGGTTACTGATAATAATAATACTGCATTTATTTGATCACAAATATAGTAAAAACTGTAAAAATGTGAAATATTATGTTTTCTTTATTAATATATTTTAAATGTCATTTATTCCGGTGATGCAAAGCTACATTTTCTGCAGCCATTACCCCACACGTCATGTTATCCTTCAGAAATCATTCTAATATGCTGGTTTTTGAAACATTTCTTCTTCTTATTATTATTATTATTATGTTGAAAACAGTTGATAATATTTTGTGGCTTTTTAAAAAAAAAATCTGGATTTTTTAGTTAATAGAAAGTTTAAAAGAACAGCATTTATTTGAAACTGAAATCTTTTGTAATATAAATGTCTTTGCTGTTACTTTTAATCAATCCAATGTCTCCTTGCTCAATAATAAAAAAAAACTGACCCCAAACATTTAAACGGTCATGTATATTTATTAATTGAATGTTTATTAGCATATATGTTAGTTTAATATAAATAAATAAGACAAGGATACAAATTCTTCTTATCTTTTTTAAATTATTAAATTTTTTTTAAATGTCCCTTCTGTTTAATTTTGTGTATCCTAAAGGTTTTGCAGGCTCAGTTGGACACTCTTCTGCAGGAGGAAGCTGCCATCAACTATAGCTGCAGTCTGACCGGCGAAGCCCTGGACAGGGGAAACAAGGCTGTCATTCTGCAGACCCATAAAGACGTGGGAGAGAGACTCAGTGACCTGGCCAGCCAGGGCCTTCCTCTTCAGCCGGAGGAGAACGACCAGCTGGATCTCATGATGGAGATCGAAGGACTTCGCAAGTCCATCCACAACCTGGGGACTATCGTCACCACCAATGCCGTGGCCAGTCAGACCGAGGCATCAGGTGATGGTCTGGAACAGTGTATTGTGGGCCAGCCGGCAACTGTCGTCATAACCACAAGAGACAAGTCTGGAGGACTGTGTAAGACGGGCATCGCCGTCATCTCAGCAGAAGTCTGTACGCCGGATGGCAGTGTTGCAGACGGCGAAATTGTGAACCTTAAAAATGGAACGTATGAATTCCAATACACGGCGAAGAAAGAGGGACATTTTAGTCTAGCGCTTAGACTTTATGATCAGCATATTAAAGGAAGCCCCTTCCAGTTAAAGGTCACCAGCTCTCCAGATGATTCTTCACCCACCACCACCGCAGCCAATGCTGCATCCACGGGTTCCAGCGATGGTGGGGCACGGAGACGGAGCGCCAAGTCCCCAGGGAGCAGAAGCCGGCAGAAGGGCGTCAGACGGGGAGGAAGCTTGTTCAGCACACCAAAAAAGAAAGTGAACCCGATCGAGGATGACCTCATTTTTAGAATAGGTACATGCAGGAAAATACTAACTCACATGGTTGAATAAATCACAAACTGCTTTTTTCCTGTTGAAAATGCCAACAGCCTCACTAGTTTTGCTGCCTCTTCCATCTAGACTAGCACCAAACAAGGTCTCTGCAGGTTTTAATAAGCCTTAATTCACGTTTTCACAAATAAAGGCCTTAAAAGGTCTTAAATTGAAGCAGAAAGCCTTAAATAATAAAGTCAGGGCATTAAATGTTCATAAAATGTTTATCTTCCTCAGTATTTTTGTTTTGTTTTCCAATACAAATATCTTGCAGTCCTTAAATGAAGATACGTTTACTTGAGATACAATTGAAGGTATGAAGTTTTGTTTTCTGATTAATGGAACAAAATTAAATGAGTTTATACGTAAACAAGAACATATATGTGTTAATTGGGTATTAAAACGTGTTTTTCCTTTGAATTAAGTGTATTTTTCTGAGCCCACTGGCAGATATTTGTTCTTGTTTTAACCATAAACTCACTTCATTTTGATAAATTTAATGCATTTTTGCTGAATAAAAGTATTTCTTTCTTTCAAAAAAAAAAAAATCAATCAACCAATCAATCTTACCGACTCTAAATTTTTGACAGTAGTGTAACTACCATAAACCAGCTTAGACCAACATGGAAATGCATGTTAACACGCATATTTGTACCTCATCTAACCCTTATAAAAACTGAATAAATCCAGAAAATTTTTAGATTACATGAAACTATATTGAAAGTTTTAAACTATACTAATCCTCAAAAAGTACTTCAGAGGTTCTGATATCTTCATCTCAAGTCTTTTACATAACATCTGTTTTATAGGAACAAAAGGGAGGAATAAAGGAGAGTTCACTAACCTCCAGGGAGTAGCAGCTTGTTCAGAAGGAAAAATCTTAATTGCAGACAGTAACAATCAGTGCGTGCAGGTAAGAAGGCCCTGTCATCATCCACTATTTACAAACATGGGAAATGTAGGTACAATATATCTTTATGCAGAATCTGATAACTGAACTCAATCCTCTGTTGATCAGATATTTTCAAATACGGGAGAGTTTCAGAGCCGGTTCGGGGTACGTGGCCGTTCACCGGGGCAACTGCAGCGGCCCACTGGAGTAGCTGTGCATCCAAATGGGGACATCATCATTGCTGACTATGACAATAAGTGGGTTAGCATCTTCTCCAGTGAGGGCAAATACAAGGTCAGTTAAAAGCAGATTTCAGAATTAGTGTGCTTCATTACTAACTGGAATAAAATGCCTGCTGCTTGTCTCTGGAAATAAACGTTCGTTTTATTGACAATATTCTAATTTTTCTGCAGGCTAAGCTGGGCTCAGGAAGGCTGATGGGTCCAAAGGGTGTATCCGTGGATCAGAATGGTCATGTTATCGTTGTGGACAACAAGGCTTGTACTGTTTTCATCTTCCAGCCCAGCGGCAAACTCGTCACTAAGTTTGGCAGCAGGGGAAACGGCGACAGACAGTTTGCAGGTAGGTACAGGTCTACAGCATCTGATGAAGGGCTGCAGACTGCATTGTAACATACAGATGCAAATGATATAAAATGTAGCTATATGATTTGAGTTCATATAATCATGTAATGTAATCATTCATTGTTTCTGTATGAATTTAACCTAGACCTTGCTTTCCATGTAGGCCCACACTTTGCAGCTGTCAACAACAACAATGAAATAATCATCACAGACTTCCATAACCATTCTGTGAAGGTAAGCTTAGGCATGCTGTTTTCTAACAGTGTCAATAGGCAACACAAATATTTCCATGGTGTTACATGAACAAGAGGGTGTATTTTTTTGTCTTTTATTCGTAATGTATAATATTCTGTAATCTATATAATGTTCCTATATATTATTACTTCAAACTCTCTTATAGGTATTTAATGCAGATGGTGAATTCTTGCTGAAATTTGGCTCAAATGGTGAAGGGAACGGTCAGTTCAATGCTCCCACAGGGGTTGCTGTGGATGTCAATGGGAACATTATTGTGGCAGACTGGGGAAACAGTCGGATACAGGTAATGAGTCCTTGTGAAGTTCTGTATTAACTTTGACAGACACAAGAGTAAGTCAATATGAACTCTAACTGCCCTCTGTCTAGACAATCTAGCCAGAAACATTTATCTGGTACCTTAAAATCTAGTGTATAGATATAAAAAAGCATTTTATTAGGAGTAGATCATTTGTAACATTATAAATGTCTTTACTCTCAATTTAATGTCAGTTTAATGAATCCTTGCTGAATAGAAGTATTAATTTATTTCAAAAAGAAAAATCTCACTGACCACAAACTTTTTGAACGGTACTATATAGTTAAATTGTGTATTGTAACGTGATATACATGAATTGAATAAACACAAACATACAAGATTTTGAAAAATCATTCAGAGATCATTCTCTTTCTCAGGTGTTTGACGGGAGTGGATCGTTCCTGTCCTACATCAATACAGCGGCCGACCCTCTCTATGGGCCGCAGGGTCTCGCTCTGACCTCGGATGGCCATGTTGTGGTGGCTGATTCTGGGAACCACTGCTTTAAAGTGTACCGCTACCTGCAATGACTTCAGAGAGACTCTGATCTAAGACGGAAGGAGAATCAAAGTCATACTGTATGCGTCCAAATCTTGCACTTAATGTAATGTAATGGTATTCAATCTCCTTGGTTTTCACATCTTTTTGAATTTGTTACTACTGTCGGAAAACTCTCCTAAGAAGACTAAAGCTTGTTAACACTGTTTATGGGATGCCTTGGAATGCCTTTGCCAGACCTCCACACTCCACACTGTGGAAATACTGAGACGTCAGAATGCATTGGTGAGTGAACTACTACCTAAGCTGAAACTCTGCTCTTGTGTGCTGCATGTGTGGACCATGCATGCACCGCCAACTTTTGGACACATCCAAACCCCATCTGACTTCTAGGATGCTAATAGAACACTATCTCAAAACTTTTGATGAGTTATTGAGATGCTCATAACTGATGCAGCCAAGAGAGAAGACAGCCAACTGTCTCCAAGCTTTAGCATTCCTTCTTTGACCTGTTGGCTCCATTGTTCATGCATCTTACAGTTGACTAATAAACTATTGGTTAAAAGTTTGGAATAATTACATTTTTTTTAATGTAAAGAAGTCTCATGTTAATCAAGACTGCATTTATTTGCTCAGAAATACAGTAAAAACAGTACTATTGTGAAATATTATTACAATTTAAAATAACTGTTTTCTGTTTGCATATATTTTAGGATGTTATTTATTCCTTTTATAGCAAAGCTGAGTTTTCAGCATCATTACTCCAGTCTTCAGCGTCACACGATCATTCAGAAATCATTCTTATATGCTGAAACATTTCTTATTATCATCAACGCTGAAAAGAGTTTTTGCTGCTTAATATTTTTGTGGGAACCGTATTACACTACCATTCAAAAGTTTGGGATAAGTGAGGTTTAAAAAATAAATATAGAATACTTTTATTCAGCAAGGATGCATTAAATGAATCAAAAATGACAGTAAAGACATTTAAAATGTTACAAAAGATTTCTATTTCAAATAAATGCTTTTTAAACTTTGTAATAATCAAAGAATCCTGGGGGGGAAAAGTATGACGGTTTACATAAAAATATGAAAAATGGCTTTCAAAATGTATAAGAAGAACCATTATTAGTAATAATTTAGCACTGACAATAACTGAGCAGCAAATCAGCATATTAGAATGATTTCTGAAGGATCATGTAACACTGAAAACTGGAGTTATGATGCTGAAAATTCAGCTTTGCATCACAGAAATAAATTCCATTTTAAAATATATTCAAAAAGAAAACGGTTCCTTTAAATTGTAATAATGTTTTACAATATTACTGTTTTACTGTATTTTTTTTATCAAATATATGCAGCCTTTGTGAGCATAAGAGTCTTATCAATAACATAAAAAAAATCCAAATTATTCCAAACTTTTGACCAGTAGTGTAGGCCTGATGATAGTTTCACAAACGCTGATCATATTCCACCCATGTCGGTTTGCTTCGTCATTTTCAGTCCAATCAGTGCAATTGCAATAAGCAAAATTACAGCCAATAGCATTTGAATCATTGTCCTGTGTAATCACATACTGTGTGTAAGAGACTAACAGTAGATTACACGACGCACTGTTACCTTGCATACTTATAGAATAAAACTAGCAGCATACGGGCTCTTTATTTAGAAAATATTGACACTCTATATTTTCCTTACAAATACTATTTAAAACTGGAAATATCTATATTTGTGTATTTATCGTAAATAATGTTTCAAAGAAAGGATGTTTGGGTTTCAAATACAAATGTAGTTAAAAGCCAAACATTTTCAAGGAATTGATTTTGATTTGTCAATCATGTACCCCAGGATTCTTAGAGGCATGATTCACATAGTGTAGTAGTAATGATTTCATTCAAATTTCTTCATAACTGAATGGCACCTGTATTTCATCATCACAACGCAAAGCTCATTTATTGTTCTTGCTTTTACATTCAAATTCCAGAATGTTTTCATTTTGTTTTGGTACAGTGAGTCGGTACTGTAAATTGTTTTGCATATGCATAATGTGCTTATTTGCTTTATTTTCTGTATATAAGGATTGTATGTAAAGAATGTTTTGTACGTTCATCAGAAAATAACTTGACTTGAATGTTATCGTTTTATGTCTGTACAAAAAAAAAAAAATCAGCCTTAACATTTACATCTTGCAACATTTATCAGTTTTCACTTTATTGATGAAAATGGTTTCAATCGAATATTTGATTTCATTTTGTTTATCTAGTTGATGTGTGCCTGTTTACGACTTACAACAATAATCCTGCTCGGACTGTGTTGAGTTTTCTAATATTGCTATCACATCATATTATCATGCTTCTCATGAGTAAATGTACAGTGCATTAAAAAGTGACTTTGGAAAAGCGTCTTGTCCTGTTTTGAATATGATTATCAGTAAAAATCATGATAAATAAGATTTCATGCATAAATTATACTATATAAATATACTGGCACTTTAAAACATCAATCATGAAAAACTACTGGTCACACAACAGGTCAAGAAAATAAATGTTTTATATGTGAATATATTTTCAAATGTAATCTATTGCTGATGCAACGCTGAATTTTCAGCATCTTCAATGTCACACGATCCTTCAGAAATCATTTTAATATGCTGATTGGCTGATCAAGAAACTTCTCTTATTATTATCAATGTGGAAAACAGTTGTGATGCTTTATTTGTGGAAACAGTGATAGATTTCAATTTGCAATGAGGACAAATCTAAATTCAGCCTAAAATGTAAGACTATAATAATACACACAAGTTTCCTAAGTTTTGCAAACTCATTATGCTTTCTATTTAGCACAATCATGACAGACTCCGGTCACATCAGTAACCACATAAAAACGGGTTTATTTTCCACAGAGCAGGTCACATCATGGGGTTTGACATCTTGGTCAACTTAATGTTAAACAAAAAAAACAAAACACTGATTTGGCGATTTGATCACTCCTCACCCCTCATCATTTTACCCTAATCAAAACATAACCACTCAATATCCACAACTACATAAAATCCACCAATAAAATGCTAAACGGTTAGACAGACAGACGACATTAGGCACAGTTCTGATTAGGAGTGATAGACAGCAGCTTTAGAGGGGCTTCTGTATGTCTCTGATGTATCAGCGTAGGTCACTTCTGAAAGAGTTGTGTGTGTCTGAATGAATGTTTCTATGTGTCTAATAAATTAAAAAGCAAGAGCAGCTGTTGGATTTATATTATAAAGTGTACAATTTGTCCAATTTACAAATAAATATTCAAAAAGGTCAACACATGCACAGTTTTAAACAGAATCAAATACTGTAGGTGTTTATTCAAGTCCAAGTGAAAAATTTATTCCGTGCACGATTCCAATTATGATGGGTTGCCAGGCTACCAGGTACCTCAACCAATCCAGAAGTTGTCCATATAGAACATGTGTTCTCTCCCAGCTGATGCTCAGATTTAAGGTGTAAATATTACTAACTGCAGCCTGAAAACATATTAGCATTAGAAACATTCTCGGGGTCTGCAAGGGGACACTAGAGGGTCAGATGAAAACGGAGAGAAAATAAAATTATTTTAGTATGTATTTTAACAGTAAGAATTTTTTTTTTTTAAATTATACAGTACAAAGTTTTCCCCCAGATAATATTTCAATAAATATATATTTTTTTTCTTTTAAATTTTGAAACAGGGTAGCTTGCAAGCCAATCATTATATTATGGGGCCATTAACAATAATAAAAAA